TTATTATGGCGCAACAAGATTGCACTAAGATGTAATAATGCAAAAAGCCTTGGTACTTCATTCTGCATAATAATGAACAAACAACAGCGAAGTCTTGTGGTACATATAGAAAAAAGTGTTCAGTAGATTTACAGATTGTTTTATAAAAAATAGTTAGTATTAGTCAAGTAGTTTTCCAGATTATTACCAAGAACTAAGTCATTAAAATATCGTCAAATGAATAACCGCAATAATACACATTACGATCCAAGATTCATTTGTACTTTGTTTCATGACTTAGTAATTAAAAAAGTTCAATTACTGACAGTAAATCCCAGATTGAAATAAAAAGTAGTTTTGGTGAAACGTTGCACAAATTAACCGGTCCAAAAACCGATCCAAAAATTTGTACTAGGTCCCCAAAAATGGTTTGAAAAAGCCGGAATATCAAAAAAGTCCAGAATTGAATGTTGAGGTCCAGGAATGGTGAAGAGTTTGACATGCAGACATTCATTCTGCCTGCAGTTCCACAGGTGATAGAAAAAGCGAGTTCCAGCGACAGTATTTCTTGCTGATGTTCATAGTTGATTAGTATAGGATGTACCACAATTAAGCGCAGATCGTTGCCATACTTCTGCAGTATAGGTTCCCAGGTTACCATGGTAAACGGGAGGGAGACTTCAAAGACAGAGAAACGGATGTAGAATTCAGGCAAGGAGACAACTGTTAAACAGACACTCGCACGCAGACAGGCAGGTACAGACAGACACCCCATCGATCCACACACTCACTCACACTCACGCACGCCCAGCTCGAAGTAAATATGTCCGACAGCCAAGGGAAGTCTTGTATCCATGAAATCCTTTCAAAATCTGTAGTATTTAGCAGTCAAGGTTGAATCAGATGAGTAGTAATCAGTAGTAGTCTTGTAGCGGGCTGTCGGACTTGCATTAGGCTTTCTACAAGAGAAAGCCCTTGCGCAGACCACAATAGGTCTTTTTTGCATCATCTGATGCAGGCTTCTTTTTAGGCTTTTCAAYTTCCTCTTCTTGTTCGGTCATCTCGGCCTAAAGTCAAAAATATCGTAAGATTATTGTTTGATTTCAAAAGAATTGATGACAAGAAAAATGAAAAAGTGAATGGAAAGGAAATGAGAATCAGTCATTTGATTTCCACGCACGCGCACTAGTTCACAAATTCGTGGTATTCATCACAAAGGGATGTTGTTAATTCATTACCTTGGTGCTGGTCAGGTAGGAGTAGGCAACATAACTGCCTATCCCGACAGTGATCAGGGCTGCTCCTCCAAGAAGGAGGTTCCGAAGGAACGACATGACCACAACTAATCCTTCGTAACGAAGGTAATTAAGTAATTGGTCTATGACGTCATCATTGGGTTCTAATTATCTATTAGCAATTTAGCTAATTATACAGTAATCATCTATGTTCCATGATTCAGACAGACCTTTTCGGTTTGGACGTTAAGCGTTATAATACGTGATTTGAGAACACGTGYCGGTCATTCCCAAAAAGCAGTCGATTTTTGTAAAGTATAAATTATTTGCGCAATTTCAACGCCACCTCTCCCCGGGCTAGGCTTCGATAATTTGCACGGCTTTCAGTAAAGATTTCCAATAACACTACTAAAAAGTAATAATCATTTCAACAAACACTGGAAAATTTGATTGACCCAGTGGCCGCGCAATGCAATCATATAGAAAAAATGCTGTAACACTGTATTTGTAATTGTATATAAATAACAGCTTTAAAGACCCATTGCCACTTACCGTGATGCATCACAATTTGTTTACATTTTGAATCGTGTCAGCACTGAAAAAACAATTCCAACCTTTTGAATAAACTCTTAGATAGTCCCTAAGGCCGTAAAATAATGTAAAAGAATCATTTTTGTGCCTTAGTGCTATGTCGGAAAAGGATTTAATATGAAGTTATTATTCAATATATGAATCTTTGAATTTCATGGACCACGAAATTCATCTGTGACCGCGGTGCATCACGGTAAGTGGCAATGGTCTTTAATTTCTCATCTACAATCTACCAAGAGAGAATGAAGTATTTGACTTTAGGTGAGCCAAATGACGGAAGAACCGCGTACTATCATAGCGTGGGGACTGTGCATTTTTGATCTTGTTGGTCGAATGTGTTCATTATGAAGTTATATCTCGTGTGGTTTACGTGTTTACCGCATTGAGATGGCGTTGGATTTAATTTCTTTCCTTTATCGTTTGAACTAGATTTTTTGTGCGTTGATCAGCTGCGCTAAAAACCTCTTAGCGTCGCGCGAGTCTCGGCTATAAGCCATAAGTAGAGCTTCTTCGCTACTAACTGATCTGGGCTCGATAAAACMCTGATTTAGCAGTTAAATGGTTAAATTCAGCGTATGGTGTTCCCCAATATCATAAACTGTAAGTTTCATGGCTGAATATTTTGAGATTTTGTTTGTAGTCCTGTTGGCGCCACAGCCAACCACTCTGTCGCATCATGACGTCACATCCTGGCTAAGGGAATCCCCAGTTCTGTCGTCCCACACTTTCAAAAAAAACATTCAATTTAATTAACACGGTGAAGCTGAAATATATGACACTTGTGTGTTATTGGTGGGGAAATTAGTTAATCTAATTTATACAAATATCGCTCCAAAAATCTTCAAAGACCTGCCAGAATTTGAAGGAATTTTTCCAAGAATTTTACCCGCGATCGTGACGTGCGGTGCGTGAAATTAAATTTTACTTTTGACATATGTGTTTGTAAACTGACCGACGGACAGGATCTTCTAGATCTGATATTTATGAATGCATTTATGTTTGAAGTCCATGACAGATGATGTGCAAGTCATTTTTCCCATATGTCAAACACCTCAATCACATTTTTTTTCTAGTAGAATTCTTTCAGCTTCTCTCATGCCGTGGTCCGTAGCAATAAAAAGATTTATTACAGTGTCCATCAATGGCATAAACCTGTAAGATTTAGTGGATGGACAGGTATTTTTGGCTTTGTTTATCGAGATGCTGTTTTCTTATTTTTTTGGTACATCGTTGCAGGCACTTTCTGTGTCGCTAAAACACTCGACTGAATACTTCAAAAGTCCAAAAGAAATTATTTTCTCCAAGCCCGTTTCTCATTTCTTGAAATAAATGTAACCTATTTGTCATCGATAAGTAGTTTTCGGGCTATATAGTAATTTTTCAAGTTCTTATTGGAGTAAAATGAGTACCAGTTCTGAATTCAGGCGTCAAAACTATCACCTGAAATGACCGTATTAATTTTTTTTGTAAGTAATCATGACAGTTTTCTTAAGCGCAAAAAATATTTGTTTAATTTAGGTGTATATGGTTTTAAAACAATGAAAATAAAGGATTTTCGATTAAAAATAATGGAAAGACCATAGTTTTTTGCGGGTTCAGTTTTTGGTGTCTTTTTAGGGGAAATGGTGCATAATGTGTGGGGGCGACCTTGCGTGGATTCCAAATTTCAGGGCTTGATGGACACGAGAGCGAGTGGCGCCATCTTAGTTTCGAACAAAATACGGTTGGCCATTTACGGCGGTTATTTCTCGCTACAAGAAAGCTTCAGCAAATGCAAAAACTAACAAGAAGGATTAATGGATACTCGTTCATAACTCTGAGCTGAGCTAAACGGTGTTTTCAACGTGGAGTTTGAAGAATTCGTTGTATAAAAGCCGCCCTTTGTTCGTGTATTGTTGAACTTGTAGCCAGAGCGTTGAGTTCTCAAAGGCGAGACCCCACAAGATCAGAAATACTCAGTATTTTTCGCTCAGACGAGGTTTGTGGACACGTATTTTCTAGAGGAGGAGTAAGCGATTGCAAATTTATGATCGATCTGCTGTTTCGAGATTGAATTTTAGAGTTTTTGTCCTTTAAAATAGTGGTTTACTGAATTCAAGATGACAGCATCAGTCCGCGTTTTGTCTTGCTTCTTTGTTCGCTGGACCGCGGACTTTATTTAAGCCAACGCTAAGCTTATACTTATGCCTGTTTTTTTCCTTTTATAGACTAAAGGAACTCCACTGGATGATAAAGGTCATAAGAAGAAATTCAAAGAACTGTTTAGCTGGTTTAAAGAGAAGTTTTAAACTGTTGGAAGACGCGAAATCGTGAGCCGAGATCCTGTTGTCGTTTGGTTAGTTCGAGATGTCGCCATTTTAACGAACGCACTTAGTTGGGTGGGTATTTTATTGATATGTCGTAAAGCGATTGCCGTACAACGTAACAAGGAAAGAAGAAGTTATTGGCAGGGATAAATCGAAATATTTTTGAAGCTTAAAGACATTAATCTGGACTGGTTCAGAGTCAAAAGTTTCGTGAAAAATATAAGTACGGACTCGCTCATTGCTTCGAGGTTGTTTCGGAAGCACCGAAGCTACGACTCGAATTCCTCGATCCTAAGATCACGGAAACCTGAAAAGGGGATTTTAGGTAAGTCCAGAAGCTCGTACTTCGACTGATCGCAAAGATCTGACGGATTTATTGTATCATGTTGTGATATAGTCTAATAAAATGGTAAGCATCAGAGAACTGATCGACAATCTCCGAGCTACGAAGCCGCCATACGAGTGTCCTTTGTGCCAAAAATTTTACAAGAGCTACAGCGGAATTGAATATCATTTACAAACATTCAAGCATGATGGGTCCGATGCTCCTCCACCGCCATCCTCGTCCAAAAAGAGTAAAGGAAGGGGCCGAAAGAGTGGAAAAACGGGTAAGAACAAGAAGCCTCCACCATCACCCCCACAAGTCGTTGTTCGGGAAACACTAACTTATGCTCAAGCCCAACTCATAGTTGAAGTCGAACTTGAAGGACAAGTTAATCGGATTGGCATTGATGATTCTTTACCAGTTACGGAGGAAAAAGAGTTAAAGGTTGCTGACAAGGTAGAGGAGACGATAGAACATGTAACTCCAAAACCTCTCACAAAAACAAAGAGTAAAAATAAGCACGTAAAGAATGATGTTGAAAATACTCCTACGTTGCCCAAGTCAGATTTTGTATCTCTAGATGACTGTTTCCACCAGCCCGATGCTCCTATTAGGCCAACTACATACTTTAGGTTCATAGAACAGACGACTGAAGAAATGGATGAAATGGTAGAGTATGATATGGATGAAGAGGATTATTCATGGCTGGATATGATCAATGAACAGCGCAAGTCAGAAAGCATTGCCCCAGTCTCTCAGGAAGTATTTGAAACTTTGATGGACAGGTTGGAAAAGGAGTCATATTTTCAGAGCCAAACTACATGCGACCCAAATCAGTACATTGATGAGGATGCAGTTTGTTGTATTTGTAATGATGGTGAATGCCAAAACAGTAATGTTATTCTATTTTGCGACATGTGTAACTTGGCTGTCCATCAAGAGTGTTATGGGGTCCCATACATTCCTGAAGGACAGTGGCTCTGCCGACGTTGTCTGCAGTCACCATCAAGGGCAGTGGATTGTGTCCTATGTCCAAACAAGACTGGAGCTTTCAAGCAAACAGATGATGGTCGCTGGGGACATGTGGTTTGTGCACTATGGATACCAGAAGTTTGTTTTGCAAATACGGTGTTTCTTGAACCTATTGATTCGATAGAAAATATCCCATCAGCTCGCTGGAAGCTCACATGCTATATCTGTAAGCGTCGTCAGGGAGCATGCATTCAGTGCTTCAAAACTAACTGTTATACTGCATTTCACGTAACATGTGCGCAACAAGCTGGTCTTTTCATGAAAATTGAACCAATAAAGGGAGAAAATGGGCAAATGACAGTTCGCAAAACAGCATACTGTGATGCTCATACTCCAGACTACCTAAACCCTGATAAAGAACAGGAAGAGGAGAGTGAAGAGAAACTCCTTCCTGTTAAAAACAAGCTAGCTACCAAGAATGGAACATCCAAGCGCAGTATCAAAAAGTTTAGAAAGCTTCTTGCAGAAAAGAAAACTATGCCTGTTCCTGTCGTCAATATTCCATTCATTCCAGCTCACAGGTTAGTGCAAAAAGTTCCATTAACGTATTAATTGCATAAGCGTAGAATTGTACATGTTTGCATTACAGARTAGTTTTTGTATGAGTGAGAAAAAAATATATAACAAATTTATATGGCAGCGTAGTCGTACTACTATGTGACTACACTTAGCACGGTTCAGGGCTTTAAACAGAACTGGAAAAAATCTGTGTTATGTACTTATGTTTTCCCATGTTGTGCTTCAAGTCAAAACTACAAGTTCCATACTCCTAATAAAAATTGCTCTATGCAAATGTTGCAGGTATTGCCATATGCATTCTTACCCAAGTACTGTAAACTGCATAATCCAATACTAGAAGTATTTTAGGTCGATTCTAGTTTTTTAAATGCCTTTTCTTTGACCTAAACTTATATTTTTGAAGCTCTTTAAATAATTTGCTTTCCTGCAAATACTTTTAGTTGTACAGTGATAAATTGCAGCTCAACAAACGAGGGCAATTGATCCACATAAAGAAATTTGCACTAAAAATACTACAAGAAAGCATTTCTAAACTTCAAATTATGGATAGAAAAATGACCAGATAAGGATCAATGATTTAATTTAGCTGGTGTTATTGAAGCACATCGTACAATTGTTGTCCAAATATGCCATTAGCAGGTACCTCATGAGGGACAACAAACTTGAACAATAAAAACATGTGCACATCAATACTTAATTTTTCATGTCTTTTTTGACATTGTTTATGGATTTAATTAGTCAAAATTTCAAAAACATGAACTTGGCACTCAAAATCTATAAGTAAATACAATGATGTATAGTTTAGGTTCTTAGATGTTTTTAATTGATAAGTTAATGAAAACATTGTGGTGTYAACAAAGAAAAGTTATAAAAATTGTTTAGACAAATTGTTTTTTTTGTTTTGTCAAAACTTTTTATAATTGCTATATTTGTTTAAAGAAAAGTAGCTTCAAAATGTGGCTTATTGACATACTGTAGTGCATCAATACTAGAAAAAAATTGAGGGAGAGCATCAAAACTAGAAAAAATTTATAGAGAGCATCAATACTAGAAACATTTGATTTACTTTTTGTTTCAAAACAAAAGGAAGTATGAAAATGATACCTCCAGTGTCCAGTCCAAGGAATATTTACGATTATTTTTGAATGGACACTTTATACATACATTTATTTGAAATGGCTGACTTTACTAAATAAATTTTAAAGAAGCTAAGAATTAACAACAAAGTTAAAATTTAAGGCAATAGTTGAAGCTTTTATATATATTCTATATTCCAAGGAATATTTACGATTATTTTTGAATGGACACTTTATACATACATTTATTTGAAATGGCTGACTTTACTAAATAAATTTTATAGAAGCTAAGAATTAATGACAAAGTTAAAATCTAAGGCAACAGTTGAAGCTTTTATTCTGTATTTGAATAATTAAGGTAATGGCTACAATAGTTAAAATACATAAGAGATATATATTTGTTTAGACTGGTTTTTGCTTCCACAGCAAGCATTAATTCTTGYTTTTCACAGTGACTTGGGTATGCAATATGGAATATTTACAAGTCAATCTTTACAAAATAGCTGTTAATTTAATGCAAAAAATATATGCTATCAGTTATGATATAAGTATATATTGGACTCAAATAGATTTCCAGCCCATTTTGAGCTAGTTAGATTGACCCATTTGTATCCAAATTTAAATTAATTGCTTTTGTGATTCTTTATTAATGAAAAATTCAAACATATTAAAAAAAATTATTACAAACTATTATTCTTTATTATTTTCAGGTTAGGGAAGATTGTAAGCAGGGTTGCTATGGCGAGGAAAGCACAGTTTGTCCAATCTCTTCAAAGTTACTGGATGTTAAAACGCCAATCAAGAAATGGTGTTCCTTTGTTGAGAAGGTTACAAGCCACACATCTCAGTCAGAAGGGAGGAGGAGATGAAGTAAGTAGAACAACTTTCCAAATCCTAATGCATTATTCTTAGTTTATTTTATCATTATACACCAGATCGAAATATGGCAACCATAATTTTAATAACTATTGTTCTCCACTGACTAGCAACTGACTAGCCTTGTGTTTACATTGAAAAATAAAAGGATTCTTACATGTATAAGAGGCTAGTAAGTCAGTTGCTAGTCAGTCCAGAACAACAGTTATTCAATTTGGTTGCCATATTTCAATTTGGTTGCCATATTTCAATTTGGTGTATTGTTCATAACTCCTGTTGAAACCATTTATGAACTTAGTAACCTTTTGTATGGAGTTAAATTTTATTTTAAGAAATAACATTGAAAAGAAAAAATTATAAGTTGTTCAAAGAATCATTTTTAACAAATTCTTACGAATTCTTCAAAATTTATCTCCATAGAAACCATAGCTAGAACAGAAAAATAAATTTGTAGATAAAAATCATTAACTGTTCAAGGAAAGATTCTTTTCTATACATTGACTGTTACTATCTCTGAACATTTATTAAGAAAGAAAGAAGGAACCCAATACTGTGTATGGTGTTTGTCAGAGTCAATTAAGTCTAATAGTTCTTAGCAGGAAAAATCTTCTTCAGTTAGTGAACGTATAATAAGTGTTTAAATTTTAGATTGCCTAAGGGTATATCACCAGGAAAAGTGTAAAAGTAATCCATATTTATGACACGTTTAGTATTTTTGGACATCTAAATCCACTAAACTAATATAAAGATGAGAATATGTGGACCGCRTAGCACTTATTCTGGGCGAAAGACCCTTGGAAATAAATTTGGAAAAATTAATTTCTGACCTATAACTTATCTATATTTCTATAAACTAATACACCTATTTRAAAAAACATTGTCATCCCCAAAAGCGATACAGCTGTAGGTGATAGGTCATTCAGACATGGAAATGGTTTTTGTTGAAAAGAAAAATTTCTAAGGTCCATGTTCTTGACGAGAATAAGAAGGAGAGAAACACAAGTCATTCCAGCTATTCTTGGATCTTGGAATGACCTATTGCTTTTCGCCTATCACCTATCACCTTTGGCGATGACAACATTTTTTTGAAATAGGCGTATACCTTTTCTTTATCTCATCGTGTTCAGAAGAATCAGCATCTGGTGATAGTGATTACTAATCTAGTTCTATTTTACCCCTGCCTTAGTCAAGTGAAAGATCAGAGAGAATAAAGGCCATGAAGGAGCAGCTACACTTCTGGCAGAGGCTTCGACATGATCTTGAAAGAGCTAGACTGCTAGTGGAGCTGATCAGGAAGAGAGAGAAACTGAAACGAGAACATGTAAGCAGTTGTACTGTAAGTTAGTTAAGACTTATCTTATTGGCATATTCATTTTAATAATATTGGGAAAAATGAATTTTGCGGATGACATTCAAAACAAGTTTGACTAAAGTAATTTTGATAGATATGTTATGATCGGTTGATGTAAATGCTTTAATGTGCTTGTCAGTTATATTGTTTGTTTGAAATCTTTGGTGTAAGCATCCCTTTGAATTTATAAGCACTTTAGATGGTAAATAACAGCATTGGAAATACTGTTCCCTCACCCCTCACCCTGTCCTCCCCCCACCCCCCC